TGCGAGAGAGCGGTGTGGGAGCAGAGCCTAGTGGTCGAGCAGCACATCAGTGCAGGAGGCTGCTCGGCATGTGGGCTCGTGGACTTGACCAAGGCATGCGAGAAGGTGAACCATTACCTTCTCGCTCGGGCGGCAGTCAAGCATAGATATAATCTGATTCGTCTTCGTTTGAAGCTGTCCTTGTATCGCGGCAAGCGGGTCATCCGCATTCTAGGAGTGTGCGCGTTAGTGGCAGAAGTTGACCAGGGTATTCTTGCAGGCTGCGGTGAAGCGACCAGTTTGCTCAGCTGCCTTTAGCTGGACCCCTTGGATTCGACTTGCGAGCACTTTGGCAGCGTAGGCATATACAACGTCGTCGACGATATCACATTGCAGTCGTCTGGTCACTCGTCGCAGGTGGAAGTCAGGTTGCCGAGGGCGATCTTTTACTTGTGCACGCTGCTCGAGCGGCTACTGTTAGTGATTTCACAGTCCAAGGGCCTCGTGCTGAGCACCCACGCGAGCATGCGGCAGGTCATAGTCAGAAAGCTTCGGAAGTGGAACTTCGGGGGGGCGCTTTCGGGAAGGAATCTGGGATGTGACCAAACGATGGCTGCCGAGGGGGCCCGTGGGTCCAAGGTGTTACAAGCCAGGCTGAGGCGCCTCAAGGGGCGCAGAGGAAGGATCCGCGGGCTCAGGAGCTCTAGGAAGGGATTGATGCGGGTGGCCCGTTCTGGGGGACTTGCTGCTACCACATATGGAGCGAGAGTGAACGGGGTGGCCACCACGAAGCTTCAGCAGATAAGGAGTGCGGTTGGAGCGGCTGTGTTTGGGACTCCCAAGGGCAGGAGCAGGACTCTGGAGTTTCTTCTCAGCGAGGAGCCCAAGGGGGACCCAGCTTTCGACTCGAACCTTTTGCCGCTCCTCATGTGGGGCCAGGCGGTCAGGAACAAGTGGGTGGAGCCCAAGGCGACGCAGCAGAGTTTCCAGTTTTTTCAGGAACAAGCAGGATTTCGACTGGAGCCAGGTGAGAGGCCCAGCAGGTGCGGTCGTCTTGACCCTTAGGCGGATAGGCTTGGAACCGAGGGCCTGGAACCTGTTCGTCACCAACTCGGGGTTAGTGATTGACTTGGAGTATCTTGGAGGGCGTTCTCTGAAGATGGTTCTGGAGAGGTTTGTTCGGGAACACCTCGTCAGAAGCCTTGGGGATGGTCGCGTGGAAGGCCTCGACGAGGGGCCGCTGCTGGAACCAGTCATCGAAGTGCTCAGGGACCTCAGGGCCAAGGGCCGGTGGCAGGCGGCGGCGGGTCTCGCGGGTGTGGTCGCAGGCGGGTATCAGACTCAGGATGAGCTGTACCAGGACAGGCGAGTTTTGGACGACAAGTGCATGCTGTGCCAAGGAGAAGTAGGTTCTGCATTACACAGGTTTCGATGCCCAGCCCATCAGCCACGAATTCGAGACCTCGGAGTCCAAGAGTTGTTGGACACGCCGGTGCTGCCAGGAACGGAGGCGCTCCACACGAGGGCGCTCTTTCCGAGTGTCGAGTGGGCTTGGCCCACACCGTGCCAGCAGGCAGGATTTCGGTGGGGCGTGGTGCCGCCGAACGGGGTGCTCGACAAAAGAGTGTGTCTCGACGGATCAGGGTATGACCAAGATCAGCCTTCCCTGGCCCGCGCGGGGTGGGCGGTGGTCACTGTCGCGGCGAGCGGGCACATCATGGGCTCGGCGTACGGGCCCCTGCCGCGCGTCGTGCAGCTCGCGGGGGCGGGGGAGGTGCACGCCTTCCTCATGGCGTTGCGGTTGGCGGGCCCGCAAGGGCTTGATGTGATCACTGATTGCAAGATGGTGGAAGATATGTGGGGGTTCGGGCCAGAGCAGAACTTAGAGGACGTAGCATATTCGGAGCTTCGGAGGGAAATATTTCAGTTGGCAGAGGATCTCGGACGCGATCTGATTTCGGTACGTAGGGTTAGGTCTCACCTCTCCCTCGGTCAGGCCCGCAGGCAAGGGGTGAGTGAGTGGGAGTGGAGAGGCAGCGAGCGGGCAGGCGAGCTCGCCAAGCTTGGGGCCCAGGCTCATCCCACTAACCCCCTAGTCAAGGCTCAGCTGAAACTTAGCTTTAGCTTAGTCAAACAGTCGGCCTGGCTGATTGCCGAGGTCATGAACGACCTCTCGGTAAAGGATTTCCCAGACGTGGCGCGGGTTCGCAGGCCTCGACGGCCCAAGCCACAAGTGCTGCAGTTGATTCCAGAGCCCAATGGGCATTTAATTGAGAAGTCTGGCAAGCAGTACAGGTGTGCGACGTGCGGCGAGAGGGGCCGCTCGAGGGCACACATTGCTTTGACGCCTTGCGGCGGTCCGCCGAGGGTTGCGAGGACGGCGCACTGGAGCCACAGGCTCTGGCTGGGTGGGGGTCGGGTGGCCTGGTGCACGCGTTGCGGCGCTTTTGGGTCCGCTCGGTTTCGGCTCCTGGGGACTCGGTGTGAAGGAGGTCCTCGCAACCGTGATACCGCTAATGGTCTCAGAATGCTTTGGAATGGAGTGGACCCCAGCTCGAAGACGAGCTTCGGGAGGTCTGTTCCGCTCAGATGGCAGGTTCAGACGGGTTGGTCGTCCGCCCCCGCCTGAACTCATCTTTCAACACTTGCCCTTTGTACTGTTTTTTGGGCTGCCTTATCGCTCAGCGGTAACGGACAGCTAATGAGCCAATCGGAGCCAATAGGAGGAGGACGAGGAGGAGGAAGATGAGGAGGAGGAGGAGGAAGAGGAGGAGGAGGAGGAGAAGGAGGAGGAAAACGAGGAGGAGGAGGAGCAGGAACAGGAGGAGGAGGAGGATGGAGGAGGAGGACGAGGAGGAGAGGGAGGAGGAGGAGGAGACGAGGCGGAGAGGACGAGGAGGCGGAGGAGGGAGGAGGAGGAGGAGGAGGAGGAAGGGTGAGGCTCGCCCCCAGCGCCTCCGAGGCGCCCGGGTCGGACTCGTTTCCGAGAGCCCCTCCTCCTCCCCTGTCGGGTCCAGAGTAAGTTTGCTCGTGCTGGGCCTCGGTGCCAAGCCTGCGAAGCCTGAGGAGGAGGCTAGGAGGAGGAGGAGGAGAGGAGGAGGAGGAGGAGGAGGAAGGAGGAAGGAGGAGGAGGAGGAAGGGGGGGGGAGGGGGAGGAGGAGGGCGGGGGGGGGAAGGGGGAGGGGGAGGGGGAGGAGGGGGAGGGGGAGGGCTATAGAGGAGGAGGACGCGGGAGGCACGCGGGCACGGTGGTGCTCCGCGCGGATTGTTTGGATCCGCGCGGGGGTCCCCCTTGGCGGCGCCTCGGGTGCCGCCCCTGGCGCGCAACGCCAAACAAAATATGGTCATGGCTCTTGTTATTATTATTTTTCTTCTTATTATTATTCTTCTTCTGCTTATTCTTCTTCTTCTTCTTCTTTTTCTTCTTCTTATTATTATTATTCTTCTTCTCAGCAAGTACGCATAGAACCAGGCAGTGAATTGATTAATTGTTGCACGTCGTCCCCACATGGGCAAGTTCGGCACAGTCTCTTTGGGGAGAGCGTCTGATGGAACTGCGGGGGTGCAAGTCTCCCCCCCTCCGCATACGACGCGGTGTCAGCATTGCCCGCTCTTGCCGCAAGATTGATCATGTCCATCGTACGCGGGTACATGCCCCCTGCTCGGGTACTACCCAAAGACCAGGCGAATGATAAACATGCAGCGGCAAACGTGCTGGAAAAGAGAGCTTCAAAAAGGGACGATAATGGAAGCGCTTGCAGCGAGGATGCCGAGGGCGGAGGAAGATATGTCGGAGGCGCTACACAACATTCCGATACCACGCACGGCAATTACCCATGGTTCCTTGAAGGGATGAAAGGCCCACCGAGTGCCTTTTATAACCAGCGCTACCAGGCGAGGCCAGGGTGCACTGCTAGTACGTTGTGCCAATAGTTGTTCTATTCGTGAGCATCCCCGCACATGCCATTGTGTCTTGTGGGGGGCGAACACGGAACACGCTCCTTTGTATAAACCATAGCGAAGCCATTCATGCAAGAAGTTGGCGTCGACACGTCCAACGTTTTCAATACAAAATGTCATAATCTTATGCGCGAGATCGATACGTGCGCTTCCACCCAGGAGACGACTTCTGTTCGCCACCATGCAGCCCACACACACAACCTACAAGTGCTTTTTCATCGCGTACTTCATCGTTCTACTCGTCCGAGCGACGGGGGGAGGAGGCAGGAGGGGGAGGATAAATGAGTCTTGTCGGAAGCTCTTTCCATCATGCATAAAAGTTCATTGATCCATAAGTGTACAGGCTACTAAAGGCCGCTACAGGCCACCAGAGGCCGTTCAAGTCCATTAGAGGCAGCTAGAAGGCCACGAACGGCGACCAATATTGCACCACAGGTCATTAAAGACTACCAAGCCGAGGCGGCGCATGTTGGAATAAGTGTCCGAAAAGACTGGCCTAAGGAGGAGAGGAGGAGGAGCACAAGGGAGCGAGGAGGCGGAGAAGAGGGGGCGAGGGCCCCCTCCTCCAGCTCCCCCCCCAGAGGTTCGTGGAGGGAGGAATGTTCATGCCACGCGCTGAGGGAGCCCCATGGGGTCGGCGAAACAAGCGGTGTCCACGCGGCAGGAAGGGGCAGGAGGAGGATTGGGGCGGAGGAAACGGAAGGAGGGAACATTCCAGGCCTCCTAGATGGGGTCGGAGTAGATGGGGTCGGAGGATCGCGCCGCATCGCCGATGCATCGGCGATGCGGCTCGATGTGGAGCCCGATTTTCTCCACGCTGGCGTCGCCGATACATCGCCGACGTCGCCGATGCATTGCCGATGCATCGCCGATGCATCGGCGATGCATTGGCGATGCTGCGCGATCCTTCGTCCCCATCTACTCGGATCCCATTTAGGAGGCCTCTGAACATGAGGAGGCAGGAAAGATCAGGAGGACGAGGGAGGCGGTGGAGGGAGGAGGACGAGGAGAGGGAGGAGGACCTCCCCGAAGCCCCGCCTCCAGCCCATTCCCCCCCTGAAAGTACATCGCCCTGCTGGGCGCGAAGCCGACGGACCAGTTCGTGATGCCGGTGCCCTCGTTCAACGTCATCAACGGCGGCAGCCACGCCGGGAACCGGCTCGCGTGCCAGGGGCGCAGCGGCTCGTGGGCGTCGGTGTCGTCGTCCTCGCCCTCGTCGTCGTCCTCCAGGAGGAAGGGGCAGGCAGGGCGGGTCTCCCTGTTCCTCCCGGCGCGCGGGGAGAGGAGAGAGGAACAATAGGATGGGGGAGGCAGGGAGGAAGGAGGAGGAGACGGAGGTGGAGGATGAAGAGGAGGAGCAGGAGGAGGAGGAGGGAAGAGGGCGAGGTGGGAGGAGGAGGAGGAGGAGGAGGAGGAGGAGCAGGAGCAGGAGGAGGAGGAGGAAAACGGATTGTGAGGCGGAGGCCTTTTTGGAAGCTCCCAGGGGCCGCCAAAAGGAAGCTTTCTGTCATGCGGCCGCTGTCCTCCCCATCTCCCCGTTCGCTCTCCCAGTGATCGGCCTAAACGGTATTTTGGCGACTTCGTGGGCCGCTTTCGTTTCAACTTCGTTTTCCAGCAGAGGTGGATTAAGGACAAAACGACGGAAAACGAAAAAACGCGAACGCGAAAAATATATTTTAGGTCCATCCCTGTTCCTCCCCTTCTGGCCGAGGCCAGGAGTTCATGATCCTGCCCACCGGCTGCTCCACATTCAAGGAGGCGATGATCGTGGGGGCCGAGGTGTACCACACCCTGAAGGGTTGCATCAAGAAGAAGTACGGGCAGGACGGCCTGCCCCCCCACGTCGGCAAGCCGAGACACGCCACTACATGTATAGATATGTGTACATGTACATGTGTGTATACACATTTACATGTCGATATCCAGATGCGTATACGCACACACACACACACACACACACGCACACATACAGCACACGTGTGCACATCTATATGCAGACATAGATGTATACTTGAATGAAGGTCCGAGAAGTCAAGAGCGCTTCTCATAGTCAGGACGCGGGCCGATATTTTTGTTTGTCGTTGTTGGGCCTTCGACCATTTGCCAGAGGGGTGTACAGCAGGAGGCGTTGGATTTCTCGCACGCAGAACTGGGTTCTCGGCCAGTATCGAACATGTGTTCGGCACTTGCGCAGTCGGTACGTGTCGTTTTGCATGTAAGCGGCTATTGGGGGTATCGACATACGTCTGGCAGCGATTCGACGTTGACTATGCTGGCCACTGGGGAGTGGGAATATCCAACATCTTTGTGGAACGTGTTTCGAGGCATGCGTTGCTCTCGTGCACCTGGTGTGCGCCTTGCTTGTCAGCAAGAGCTTGGGCTCGGGCTTAGCCCTAGACTCAAGGGCAACGTCGGGGGGAGACAGGCTCAGATAAGCTCAGGGTGAGGGCGCATCGACCCCGAATCGCTCATTCACCGCCGACCGGAGTCCCACAGCCCAGCCCGCCCAGGACCATGGCGTCTCGGCATCAGGGGCACATCGCCGATCTGTCGGCGATGCATCTCCGATTTCAGCTCGATGTTTCCCTCCTGAGCCTTGGCATCGCTCGGACGTGTGCATTTTTTCTCGGCGAGGACCATCGAGGAGCATCTGTGATCATTTAGCAGAAAATACACGCACGAAATCCTCCTCCTCCCCTTTCTCCTCCTGCTCTCTCTCTCTCTCTCTCTCTCCTCCCAGTGCATCTAAGGCTTCTTCGGATTTCTACTCATCGTCCTGGCGCTCGTTACACCAGGGATGAAAATTGTCTCGGATGTATATGTACGCTTGCGTGAGTTTGTGTGTGAGCTCCCTGCACGTGTATCAGGCACCCCACTGTGGGGGAAGGTGCACTGCACGTGCGCAGGGTGAAGCTAACTACGTTGCCTGCCTGAACCCGAGCCGCGTTTTTTTTTCTGTTGCGTGCCATCAGCGGAGGTGCAGGTTACGCAGCGCGCCTTGAACCCGAGCCTTGGGGTTCCTCCTGCTTTTGGCACCTATGCATGGCCGTTTTGTTTCATGCGGGCACGGTCGGCCTTTGCGCGCGGATGGGGTGGTCCTCGCGGGCCCCTCCCTTTTCCGTCGTGTTGGTGCTGCTTGTGCGGGAGCGTCCCGAGAGGGAGAGTCTGGCCGATTGTCGGTGACGGTCGCGCTTGCCTTCCGACGGGGTCAGCCATGGCCTCGCCGATGGGCGCCGTCACCGATTTCATGCTGGTCATCGACATCGGTCTCGTATGATTTACTAGGTGGAGGGCATGGCTGTGGGGGGCGCGAGGGAGCGTCCCGTGAGGGAGTTCTGGCCGACTGTCGGTGGTAGTCGCGCTTGCCTCCCTCACGCCCCCAACCCTGTTCGTGCGGAAGCGTCCCGTGAGGGAGATTCTGGCAGATTGTCGGCGACAGCCTGCTTGCCTTCCGACAGGGGCAGCCGTGGCCACACAGATGGGCGTCGACACCGATTTCAAGCTGGGCGTCGACTCCGTATACGTATGGGTATTTTGGGCGGTCGCTCGGTGTCCCCGAGTCGACCGCCGACCTCGACGTGGCCTTCGAGATGCTCTCTGAGCTGCGCGTCGAGGCCCGAGCGAGCGGGGCCGCGGGCGCGCGCGCGGCGTGCGCGGCCGCCCCCGAGCGACACCGTCGCTGCGTGCGTCTTGCCTCCTCCTCCTCCTCCTCCTCCTCTTCCTCCTCAGCCGCTGCAGCGGCCCAAACCCCCCTCCTTCGCGGCTCATCCCACTTCAAAGGAAAGAGATTCCGCGACAGCGGCATGATGGTTCGCCCGCGGGGTCTGCCGAGCCCGTGAGGGGCGACGGATGGCTCTGCGGGGGCTGGCTTCTCGCTGGTGGCTCCCGCAGGCGGTGTTCGCTATCTCTGTTTGGGCGATGACGAGTACACCGAGCCAACGTCCCCCACCTCGTGGACAGACACACATCAGGGCATGCACGTACAACCCGATGCATCTAATCGGGCCCATGAGATGCTGCGACATATCTTTGGAGTTTCACAATACGGGCATTCTTCTACTACCAGGTACATGTCGGAAGAAAGGCGAAGACTCCCACCAGCTATTCTGTCATCCACGCCACTGGGAGATCTCGTTCGGGTGGTCTCGATCCAGCAATCGAGCGTGCGGCGTCTCCATCATGATGCACAACCAAGTCTTTCCCAGGCGCTGGCTGCGCCGCATCTACGCCCCGCCACCTCGTCTGGAGGGGAGGGCGGGGGCTGTGCGCCTGAAGTCGTCGACGCTGGACGTGCTCCTGATCGTGCTGTACTTTCCGTGCCAACCTTCGGGGCGCGGCCAGACGAAGGAGTACCGCACGCTGGTGCAGGCCCTCATAGGCTGGACGAGGACCACCATCCAGTCCGTCGGAGCCCGCTGCACGCCCATCATTGGCTGCGATTTGAACGACGGCCTCGGCGTCTCCCACGAGACCACCGTGGACGAAGCAGCATTGCACTATTGGGAAGAAGAGGACGAGGTTCGAGCTGTGGGCAGTTTCTCCCCCTCGGTCGAGGGGATTGCAGGTCGCCTCTGGCACCAGATGCTGAACGATACCGAGCTGGCGGCCTGCAACAGCTTCGTAGACGCGGGGCCCACCTATTATGGGAACATGGGTCGCAGCAGCCGCATCGACTTCATTCACTTGCCTCAAGCCCTCATGCCGTACATGACGAAATGCCAGGTGCTATCGAGGGCGGGTCGAAGGCTACAACCCATTCAAACATTAGACGATCGAGATCATCGACCAGTCTATGTGGAATTCGCATATTGTTTTCAATCGCAGATGGGTTCAGCTCCAGGCTGGGATTTTGACCGAATCATGGCGTCGGCCCGAAGAGGCCAGCAGTGCACACAACTTATCGAGGACATCCAGAGCGAACTGATGACGATACCCGATGAGGAATGGATTCGCATGTGCACAAGGCCCACGACGGACGAGTTATGGAACACCACGGCCACGCTTCTAGTTAACAAGGCGAAGGATCTTATCAGCAAGCCAACACCGGCCGAGGAGCTCAAGTCTGACCTTGAACACCAGCGCTCTCGCACCTTGGAACGGCGAAAACTATTGAAAGGCACACTTACAGGGCGCGAGACAGCCTCTTGGCAGGACACGGAATTGGAATTAGCAAGGCTTACATTCAGAATCCGCTCCTTGTCCAAGCAGATCACGAAGGACAAGACGGCGGCGATAGTCCAGGAGTTGAACGAAGCTTGGTCCGCCCATGACCACAATACAGTCCAGAGACTGATACGCCGTCTGTCTCGACGAGGACGTGGTCCTCGCCAGCGGCGTTACTTTGTATGCAAAATGGAGCAATGCGAAGCCGAGCAGATAAGTTCTTTTCTTCAACTACCCGCAGCGGCGGGTGGTATGGGCGGAGTTCCTTGTGATTTACAAGCGGAGTTGGTAGAACGGTTCGACAGAACATATTTCGAGGACGAGGAAGATTTTGCCAGATCCGAAGAGGTGAGATATAATATCTTGCAGGCCATCTACCTGGAACAGGCACAGGAGGATCTACAGGGCATGATACAAGTGCTGAGATCTTCCCCAAAACGTCGGGCATGCCCCCACTGGTCAATGCCGTCTGAATTATGGCTACTACTTCTTGATGAGGCGGTGTGGGAGACCTTCACCACAGGTGGAGTGGGGGCCAGCTCGCGCCCTTCGACGGCTACCGCTTTCCTCGAGCGCATGACGGACATCATCGCTACGTTTCGGCGAGCTCGCCAATCACCACTACTCTACGACATCTCTTCCTGTATCGGATTGGACAAACGAAACGGAAAGCTTGGGGCCGCGGGACAGCGATGGATTCACTTGTTCTGCCCGATGGGCAAGGCATGGCACTCTTGGCTGTGGCAGCGGGGCAGACAGGTTCGTGAGCGTCTCCCATACCATTGCCACGGGTTCGTGCCGAGGCGCCGCCGCGAGGACGCAATCGCCGTTCAAGCATGTGCATCGTGGCGCCTCGAGCAGGAGGGCTTGTCTCACGCGATCGTCAACGAGGACGCCTCGAACGCTTTTGCGAGCACTGACCGAAAAACTATCATTGAGACCCTCCCGTCCTTGTATCGACAGGAAGATATCGTATTCGAACACCGTCGTGCAGTTCAGGGGGCCCTCCAGATTGAATCCAACTCGGAGGTGATTACTCTTCGGCCCGCAACAGGCGAAATGATGGGACACCCCAATCCTGCCCGCGCCTTCCCCTATTACTACGAACTCGGTCTCGCCCGTTTTCACGATCATCGCTCTCGGACTTCTTCTCGGCAGTATGCAGAGGCCATCGAGATAGACGGCACTTCCTCCGATGTAGGCTTAACGATTTTCGCAGATGACATTACGAAGATGATTATTCCAGGGTGGGGACCCGAACCTTTCTCGAACGGCAGCGAGGCGGCACCCTCGGCGGCGCTGGCGGAGTCGAGTAGCAACAATTTGAGTGAGGCCCTCTCCGAGATAGGTATCACGTTGAACCCTGAGAAGCGGGTCACTCTTGCTCGCATCTTCGGTCGAGGCTGCATAGGTCAACGACGCCTGTGGCACAGCGGTGTTTTAAAAACTTCAGGGATCCGAGGTCGTCATATCAGGATCCTGGGAGGCTGGCTCACTTCCACGGGGTCCCTGGCCGTCGAGAAGTCGAAGCGAACTCTGGCGGGAAAAAACGGTCTGGGGCTCATCTCGTGCTTCCTGGTCAGGCCAGCCGCTCGTCCCATCAAGCGTATGGCGATCATCTCTTTCGTACAGGCGGCCCTCCTCTCGGGCATGGAGGCTCGCGTCGTGGACTCGTCTTTCTGTGAGCAGTCGGACCGTGTGTTGATGTTGGCTATGCGTAGGGGCCTTGGCCTTCAGGGGACCACCCGGAGCTTAGAAGGAGAAATTCGGCGCTGGCCCGCAAAAAAGGTCTGGGAGTACTGGAAGATCCTACCTACCTTCGAGGAACTCAGAGTACGTCGTCTTGGGTGGCTCCAGAGTTGGGCCCGTTTCCCTGAGGCCCACCGTCAAGTTCGGGCTTGTATCTTCGGGGCCATCAACAACCAGGATACCCTTGACGACAACTGGGAACTGACCCCAAAGGCCAACCCCTGGGCTCGGCAGCTACTAGAGGACCTCAAGCATGCCCATGATCTCGTCGAGGATTTTTACACGCTGGTCCCCTCGGGCTACCCCCTCGTGAAGCTGCTGTACCTCCAGGAGTACAGGGACTGGGCTTTCTTGGATTTCACGGTCCTCCGTGCTGCAGCCTACTCGCAGTCGTTCGCACCGCCCGAGTTCACCCCAGAGGCCCCCGAGGTCCCCGAGGAGGAGGAGGAGACGGCCCAAGAGGGCCAGTTCATCTGCCACATGGTGCTCAGCACGGGCGCCAAGTGTAACGAGAGGTTCAGCACCATGAAGTCGCTCCTCCTCCACGCAGGGCGGGCACACAGAGTGCGAAACGAAGCGTCCCTCTTGACTGTTACAAACCAGTGCTTTCGCTGTATGCAAGTTCTGAGTACAAAGGAGAACGCCGAACGCCACGTCATGAGATCCTACAAACGTAACATCTGCAGTCGGGGGAGGAGCTCTTTCTTAGCGCAGGACGTGATTATACCTGAAGAGTTGCATTGCCCAGTCTGTTGGCATGAGGCTCAAAGTCTACACGACCTTCAAGTCCACATCAGGTCTCATTGCTCTCTCCCACAGCCGGTCATCCACCAGCGTCGCCTTCTCGATGGCGGCCTCCACCGAAGGCGAAATGATGGACCTCGCGGCTCTCGTGGAACTGGGCAAGCGCAAGAACGAGGACCCTGGTGGCGGCGGCGAGGAGGGCAGGGGCGCAAAGTCTCGGAGGTCGGTGGCCGAGGCAGCAGACGCAGCAGAGGACACGCTACACCAGGTGGAGGGCGCGCTCAAGGCAAAAGACGTTGCAGCGGCGCTGAGCCTCCTCCTAAAAGGTTTCTGCATGCACTCTCAACTTCTACGAGACCTCGCATCGGTGGTATGGGTGAGCGTGATCCTGCCGACGCTGTCCCCGATTATCGTGGCCTGCAGGGCCGCTGGCAAGCTCTACGCGGAGGCGGCTGGGCTCCCGACGGTGAAGGACAAGCTCGGACCTCCACATTTACACATAGCGCGCGCAGGATTCAAATGTCTAGTGGAGGCGGAGACCAGTATCAAGATCGGCGGCGAGGCGATGGACTGCGTGAAGTCGTTCTATCAGAGGTTCGTACTGAGCGCACGGATGCAGGAGCTCGGATTATCAATCCGACACTTCCGCTGCAAGAAATGCTACAACGAGGACATGACGAGACTACAGTTCGCCGTGGTGGACGGTGTGAGCCTTCAGTTCGACTCGGGAGGCGAGCCAGTCACGTACTCCAAGCTGATGATCGAGAACGCAGTCGTGGTCCTCCTTCGCGGCATGGGCGGCACGCTCAAGCAGGGGACCGCCCCACAGGGCCACCTCGAGACGCTGGCGCAGAAGATGCTGGACCGTCACAAGCTCGGCGGCAAGGGCAGGGGCAAGGACAAGAAGGAGAAGGCTTGACGGAACCACGGCGTGCTCGTATGGAGGCACTCAGAGAACGCATCGCAGCAAAGGAACGAACGTCAAACACACGGTCGGGACCGCACCAGGGCTTCGGGACCGTGTAGGCACCCACGGGTGGCCTGCAGCTCAGGGTAGGGGACTATAACGCTCTGGCCTTTGTGCCTGCACCCTAGAGTAGTCCCGAGCCCTCGGTAGCATTTCGTCGCCACGTTACCATGGTGGTTATTCATATTGCATCGACGCTCCAGATATATAGTTCACGCTCGCAGATGTTGTGCAGCTGACCTCCACAGAGTCATTGAACGGGATTTCAGAGCGTAACCTCCTGCTCCGCTCCCTCTGCGACTCGATGGGCATGGTAATGTACTTCATCGCGAGTGCTATCTCTATGCAGAGTACAGACGTGGGATTGACTACCCAACGGGGGGCGCGGTGCGAGTGGGGACTGCCCGGCGGTGCGCCGTTAGTGACCCTCGCACCGTTGCTCCCCGGCCCCGGTGGTTATTCATATTGCATCGACGCTCCAGATATATAGTTCACGCTCGCAGATGTTGTGCAGCTGACCTCCACAGAGTCATTGAACGGGATTTCAGAGCGTAACCTCCTGCTCCGCTCCCTCTGCGACTCGATGGGCATGGTAATGTACTTCATCGCGAGTGCTATCTCTATGCAGTTGCACACTCTGATTGAGGCCCGCCCGACCCTCGCGAAGGCAGGCTGTCCGCGTCAGTCGAGATATACATATCCCTTGCTCCACGGGTCACCCCTTCGCTGAAGGCGCCTCGCTGTTGCCTGCCAATCGGATGCCTGCGGGGCCCGAGTGTCAGGTGATAGGGGGGCCTCTTCGGTGGAGGGTGTGGATCCGTCTTGACTGTTTTTTTTTCTCTGGGCTGGGTAGATGCCTCGGGAGCCGACCTGGCACACGCAGTGCCGAGAGGTTTTGGCCCCACGGGGCCAGAGGGGTGTCCCCCCCAGCCCGCGTGCGAAATTCACACTTGCGCACAGCCCCGATACTAGAGTGTCGAGCGCTGCACGGCGCGCGTTACCATTGACCTCGTATAGTAGATATACGATTGTCAGAGGTAGTAGTTGTGCACGCGTGTCTCACACTGTGCATAGCTGCGTACTCCCAGCACACGCGCAAGGCCGAGTCCTATCCTATCCTATCTTCCTCCTCCTCCTCCTCCTCCTCCTGTCGTCCCCCCACCCCCACCCAGACGTGCCCGCACTGGAGCTGCACCTCCGAGGACCCGTTTACTGCATGCCGTCTGGCGCTTCGGGAGGCTCCCGGGATGCCCGAGGTCACCACCGACCAAGCCACCACAACCCGACCCGAAGGCCCCAACTTGCCTTAAGTCGGGCCTGCCCCCTATACAAGGGGAAGGTTCAACAATAGTAACAACATAGATGTTTTTTGTATGTTTGACAATTCGGGAATATTTGTGGGGTATCAGGATGTTTCCAATCCCCCTGTAGGGGGGCGCGCCCGACTTACAACTTGCCCTCCATTCCCAGTGGGGGAGCATTGAAAAACAAAACAGATAGCCCTCTCAACCCGAAACTGGGGTTTCCGGGCTAGGTCGGGGCAGTATTCCTGGGACTCCAACACCGCGAATCATCATGACTATTGCGCCCTCATGATCGCGAATCCGTCCAAAACAAATTGTGGTACGTCGATCATGTGAATCCGCGAAACTCTTATAATTTTGTATCAAAAATGCGCGCGGCGCTAAGGCGAGAGCCACATGTTGAAAAGGAACCGCCCTCAACCCATGGAAACTCTTGCAACTGTTGAAAAGGAATGTGCGCGGCGCTAAGGCGAGAGCCACATGTTGAAAACCAACCACCTTTAATCCGTGAAACTCTTACAACTATTGAAATCGAATGTACGCGGCGCCAAGGCGGGAGCCACATGTTGAAAACCAACCGCCTTCAGTCCGTGAGACTCGTTTGCAAATTTTGAAAGCGAATGTGCGCGGCGCTAAGGCGAAAGCCACATCCGCCCTCCATCCGTGAAACGGCTGTCAATGTCCCAGCTTCGGAGTCATGCGTGGTGGGGAAGTCTCCGGCGAAACGCCTGGCCCGCCCTAGAAATTGGTTTCGGGTGCGACGGGAAGAAGTTCTATATCAGGGGAAGGAATGGAGGATGAGGAGGAGGAGGAGGAGGAGGAGGAGGAGGAGGAGGGCCCACCATGCATCAATCATGATGCAGCACGCCAGCGCGTCCCGGGCCCCCTCCCCGCAATTAAGCCTTTGCAAGACTTCCCTTCTTTTCACTTCGGGAGGTGCCCCCCTAGAAGACGAGCGCTCCATGGACCTGCAAGTCAGGCGAGCACCCCTTCTTGACAAGGAGCTACCACCCATGTGTCTAGCTAAGAGGACGGCGACGAGGTAGGAGCACACAGCCCAAGGAAGAGTTCTGCGAGAGCCCCGCTTTGAAAACGAGCAACCCCAATCCGTGCAAACGCTGCTAATGTTTAAAAGTCCGCATCGCAAGCAGACTAAACTCCCAAGCGAGAGCCCCGATTCGAACATGAGCCGACGTTCGTCCGTGTATCGATTGCACAGCTCTAGATTTGCGAGCATACGGCCTGCGGAAGTGTCAAAAACATGTTTCTTTGAGGAGAAGCGCCTTCCAACCGTGTAGTTGTTGGAAAGGAACGCATGTGCGCGGCGTTCAAGCAAGAGCCACATGTTGAAGAGGAACCGCCATGCATCCACGTTGACTGCTGTTCCGCTGGCCAGGCTGCGGTGTGGCGATGTGGCGCGGTCCTCCGAACCGTGCCCCATGTGGGAAGCGATTAAAAGGGAGGAGGAGGAGGAGGAGGAGGAGGACGAGGAGGAGGAGGAGGAGGAGGAGGAGGACGAGAAGGAGGGAGGCCCCTGGTTAAAGCGTATGGACTAGCGATGGGCGACGAGTGCCGCTTGCGGGCGACCAGGGCGGCGCCGCCCCCCACGCCGATCCCTCGGTCCCCGATGTGCCCCTCGAGCCGTCGACGGCTCTTTGGCGATGAGGCGACGACGACGACGACGACGGCGACGCCGACGGCGACGACGACGACGACGACGGCGACGACAACGACGACGACGCCGGCGACGATGACGACGACGGCGACCCCGACGACGGCGACGACGACGGCGACAACGACGACGACGGCCCGCCCCCCTGGGCTGCCGCGAGAGGACGCGTGCAACGTGGGCGACGAGGGCGGCTTCGCCCCGAGCGTGCAGGAAGCCGCCCGCCCGCGCCGGCCCGCCGCGGCCCTTGTGTGCGCCTATGGGCTGCTTTCGGGGTCAGGGCTCCAGGAGCGGGGGCCGATGCCAGCCAGGGTCCTGGGGGGGCGCCGGATCTTTACAGGATCCTGCGGGGCCAGGGTCGCACTGACCCGGGCTCTGGCGCAGGATCCTGCAGGATTGCCCACGATCTTGCAGCGCCGACTGACCCTGGTCTGGATGGACCCGGGTCAGTCTATCCCCGACTAGGCCTGCTTTGGAGGAGCCTTGCGCAACGGACATGTGTGCGCACGGCTGCCTAGTTCGAAGACGTAGGAAGAAGCAGTGACCGAAGCATCAAACCTCGGAGGTCCGCGCGGATTTCTCGGATCGGCGCTGGACCCCCCTCACTGACGCGCGGAGCGCGCCAGGGGCGGCGCAGGAGGCGCCGCCAGGGGGCCCCAGCACCGATCCGAGAAATCCGTGCGGACCTCAGAGTTTTTTGTTTATGTAACTATTTGTTCCCCTTAGTTTGCATAGTTCGAAGAGTGCGCTGCAAGGTTGTCGTGGGACGTAGACGGCCTGGGTCGGTGGGAAGATTACGGATCATATTGCCGGTGAGTTTGCCTTGAGGAGGCCAGGGCCTGTCTTTCGAGGAGTGGGTAGGCCTTGAGATCACAGCCAAGGTTCCTCCAGAGGTCCTGATGGAAACAGAGTTGACGGGTCCTGGAGGGGACGGGTCTTGGACGCAGTGGTTTCCCTTGGGGCCTGTTTTCTTCCTGAGGTGCTTTGGGGGAGTTCCCGGGGTTTGGAAAGTCGGCGGCAAGCAGGGGGGGAGTGAGAAGGAGGAGGCCTTCTCAGAAGGCGGCGGGGCTGCTCAGAAGCCCTCGCGCCCTCAGAGAGGTTTTGTGCGTGTCTTTGGGGAAGGCTCAGAAAACTTCTCAGAAGGCAATGGGGACTTCCGAGCCTTCTGAGAAGGCATTATCCTTTTCACTTCCCCCCTCGCTCGCCGCCAAGAAAGGGCCCTGGGAAGTCAAAACGGCGAACCTAAATTTGGTATGTTTTCTTTCAGGGCCATTATCCCTGATGGCAGTAAGCTGGAACTTCCGCGCGCGCTCTGGCCAGCTGCTCATGGTGGCTGAGGCGTGCTTCGATCGGGTGCACCAGACGGTGCGCGAGACTGCCCCGCAGGGAGGGGGCAAACGCTTTTGCGACGCATTCGCGTGCTCCTCCTCCTCCTCCTATCCGTCCTCATCCTCCCATTCATCCTTCTCCTCTTCCTCGTCCTCGTGCTCTCGATGCGAGGTCGCATCTTCCTTCTTATCCTCCCTCCCCGTCCTCTTCCCTCTGTCCTCCCCACTGCCCCGCTCCTCATCCGCCCTCCCTGTCCTACAGTCGCCGCTGACAATGAGGATAAGGTGTTTTTCAAGATGTGGCATGCATTCTTGGCTTTTCAGCCCCGTCCTTGGCTAATTCAGCTGGCCAGCCCCCGGAAAACACGTTGCAACTCGGACTCACAAGGGTCGTGCAGTGCACTCCGCCCTCTCCCCCCATCCTCTCCGAGCCCTCCTCTCGCAGGACAACGACGAGGCTCTTGACGTCTTGATGGACGCCATCGAGAAGTCTGGCCACAAGGACAAGGCCAGCCCGCACGTTCGGGCCCGGAGGAGGACAGCAGCTTGTCCCCCCTCCTTCGAAGGTCGGAGCTCCGCAGGGACTCCTTGGATCGGTGCTGGGCTCCCCTGGCGGCGCCTCCTACGCCGCCCCTGGCGCGCTCCGCGCGCCAGGAAGGGGGCTCCGACGCCGATCCGGGCATCGGAAAGCGTCTGTGCACGCAGCTTGCTCTTCTCCCGCCCCCTCCTCCCCGTCCCCCTCGCCCTCGCCTCCCCCCCTCCTCGGCTCGGTTGCCCCTGGAGTCTCGGGGCGGGCATGTGGCGCAGGTGGATGGTCGAATGGCGGGCGGGCGGGCTCTCTCGCAGCGGAGGCTGTGGAGTAGTGGGTGTTGTCTTGGACACAGGGCGCGTGGAATTGGGGGGTGCTGTGTCGGGCACTGGGATCGTGTAGTCCTGGGTGTCGAGTCGGGCGCGGAGGCTACCGAGCACTGGGCTGTGTCGGAGAAGCGGGTGGGGCGGTCGGCGGGCGGGCATTCTGGCGGGTTGGTGCGTCGCGCAGCGTTGCATTCCATTGCATTGCATTGCGTTGCGACGACGACGACGACGACGACGACGACGACGACGACGACGACGACGACGACGGCGGCCGATTCCCCTCCTCCGCTTCCACCCTCCTCATTCCCCCTCCTTTTCCCCCTTCATCCCCCCTTCCCCCATCACCCCTCACCACTACCTCTCTCCTCCCTTCTCTCTCCGCACTCGTCATCCCTCCTCTGCATTGCGTTGCATTGCATTGCGTTCTATTGGCATTGCGTTTGTTTTGCATTGCATTGCGTTGCGTTGAGTTGCACTGCATTGCAACGAGCGACGATGACTGCGACAACGACGGCGGAGATGGTGACAACGACGGCAATTGATGACGACGATCATGAGCGACGACGAGCGACGACGAAAACGACTAGGATCGACCACGACGACGAAGACAAAGACGACGACGAGCGACGACGACGACGACGACAACGTTCCCCCGCATATTTCACTGCGCGGAACCTCCGCATTCAATCAACATGTCGGGCTCCCGCGTAGTAGAAGTGGGCGCTCTGGTTGTGGGCCCTCCGACACACCTGAAATCCAGAGATGCCCCACCCACCACACACATCGACTCAATATCCTGGCCCCCCGCCACCTGGCAGATCAATGTGTGGCCCTTCCCGCGCGCATCAAATCAACAGGGGAGCCTTCCACACACATATACAGTCGGGGCCCTGAAGAAGGAACCCTTTTCGTTGGGGAGGGGCTCCGCGTTCCTTACCTTTTTTTCGCAGCTTGCCTCAGGCTTTCCTTATGTCTTCGATCGGAGATCGAAGCTTAACTCGTGGAAAACAGGGGCCTCGTTCCTTACTTTGGGGCTCCTTCGGTCAAGGCCCCGACTGCAGAAGCGACGTGCCCCGCCCTCCCACACGCGCGCACACCGAATCCACTTGCGGGCCCTCCCACGCCCGTGCTGCCACCTGCCTCCCGGCGCCTCCCCCCGGGCCCGCGCACGCCCGGAGGGCGCTGGCACGCTCCGGTGCCTCCCCCGGCGCCGGAGGCGACGAGAGGGGCGAATCCCCCCTGGGGGGGGGAGCAACACACCAGGAGGGAGAGAAGCACACAGACACAAGGAATCCTCGCATCCCCCGAAAATAGGGGAAAAGATGGGGAGTGGTGGGGAAGACGAAAGCCCAGAAGATGTAGGAAAGTATGGGGAATCCTTTGATTTGTGTGTATTCACTTGTGTGTCCCAGGGCCCCTTCAATGTATCCGGGTGCGCCGATGATCTGTGTCTTCGACGAGTCTCCCGGGCGAATGCGTGCAATGCCCGCCCCTGGGGCTATTCGCCCCGACAGCGCCTCCCCGATCGTCGCCGCCCCCTGCAAGTAGATCTTGCGGGGCCTCCCGGGGCCTTCGTCGTCCTTTCGTACTCCGCGCACTTCGTCGCCCTATGCCCTGCCCCCCCCCTTATCGTCGCCGCCCGCAGCGCCTCCTCGGGGCCTGCCTCCTCCTCCTCCTCCTCCTCCTCCTCCTCCTCCTCCTCCTCCTCCTCTTCCTCCTCCTCCTCCTCCTCCTCCTCCCGCCTCCGCATGAGGCGTCCCCCGCGCCCCGGGCCCCGAGAGCGCTGGGTGTGGACCGGCACGGTCTGGCGCCTCCTCCCGGCGCCCAGAAGCCGCCCAGAAGCCGCCCACGCTGGGTCCCTTCAGAGCCTCCGGCCGCCCAGAGCTGAGTCGGGCGTGTACGGTAGGTCCGTGTCGTGTCGACCCGCGGCGACCTTGCCGCCGGCGTTCAACGTTGAACGCCGCGGGTGATCCAGAATCGTTCGATGTGGAACGATTTGGATGTTTCGGAAACGGCCGATCGTTCAATGTTGAACGATCCCCGCAGTGTCAGAAACCAACGCCGAAGTCGGCACGACTCAAACCTGCCGTACGTTTACGGGAGGGAGATTCAAGACTGGGCAGAAGCGAACATGGGGGGACGACGTGTCTATTATGTTTCGATGACTGCTCGTGCTCGATGTTGTCCGACTCCTCCAAGTTCTTGCTTCCAGCGCCCGCCTGTAGGATTAAGTCGGGCCTGTCCCTCTACAGGGGGAATCTTCAAAAAGGGTTTTGAAAAAATAGTCTGGGGACTCTTTTTTGAATATTTTTGGATGATTGTGGAGTATGCTTTGGGGTATGTTTTGTGTTTCGTCGAAAATCTCCCTGTGGGGGGACAGGCCCGACTTAGACCTGCTCCCATATAGGGCGGCCTCTGGCCTCCGAGGGGCCTCCTGGCTGCCCGGGCGCCTCCCGGGGTGCCGCCCCGCGGCGGAGCGGGGGGCCCAGAAGGTGGGGGAGGGCCCCTAAGATAGTCGACGAGAAAGCGAAGGCGTTCCAGGACATCTGGAAGTGCGACCGACTCAAGCACGAGCAGCACACCGAAGTTCTACAGCAACTACGGAAGCGCGCACGTGCGGAGGCGGCCCCAGAATGGACGCTCGAGGACCTAGACGAGGCCCTCAGAGGAGAGCCCGACAAGGGCAAGGGCATTGACATGCTGGTGTGCTCCGACATCCGCAGGCTGCCGCCCGAAGGCCGCCAGAGGATCGTCGAGTTCTTCAACTCATGCGAGCAGGCGCTCGCATGGCCGTGGCAGCTGCTGTGCGAGATCGTGATGCTCACGCCCAAGCCAGCCAAGGGCGATAGGGCCCTCGCCCTGCTGCCGCAGATGGTGCGCTGCTGGGAGTTGCTCCACAGGCCCGCGGTGAGGCGCTGGGCCAAGCAGCAAGAGAGAGAGTGGGACGCCGCCGTGGCGGGCAACAGCTGCCTGCGCGAGGCGATGAGGAGAGTCATCAGCGACGAGTGCTGCGACGCGCTCCAGCTGTTCCACGGCAACCTGCTCGCGGACATCGAGAAGTTCTACGACAGCCTTCAGCTCGACTGCGTGATCGAGGCGGGCCTGAGGATGGACTTCCGCCCCCGCCTGCTGACGATGATGCTGCTGCAGCACTCAGCCACGAGGGTGCTGCGGTGGAAAGGTGCCTTCTCGACACCTACCTGGGCTGACAGGTCGCTGCTGGCAGGTTCGAGGCACTCCAACAACCTGGCCAAGACGGTGGTCTACTCCGTCATTGGCAGGATGCTGGAGAACTCACAGGCGCTGCCCAAGCCGCTGCCGAGGGCCTGGTTCGACGACATCAGCATCCGCATCCTGGGCAGCGCAGAGGCAGTCGAGCAGGAACTGACGGCGGTCACGGTGGGGCTACGCGACGGTCTACGTGCACAGGGACTCTCGCTCGCGGACAAGACCGTCATCTTCAGCACCAACTACCGCACCACCAAGAGAGTACAGCAGGCGCTGCACAAGGTGGACCTACCCGTCCAGGCCGTCACTGAGGGCCGCGACCTGGGAATTGACAGAGGCGCAAGAGGCACGCTGAAAAGGGACACCCACAGAAAGAGGACGAAGCAAGCCTTCACGCGCTGCGGCCACGTGGGCAAGAAGCTCAAGAGGCTCAGGCTGCGGCGGAGGAGAGGCATCCTGCACCAAGGAGCGGTGGCCTCCTACATGTACGGCGCGACGGTGCACGGCATGGCACCCTGGGCGCGGCAGAAGGCGAGGAGGAGGTATGCACAGGCTCTGAGGAGGCCGTGGCCAGGCCGCTGCCTCACCACGTTCCTGGCGCTGGAGGGAGCCGACCCCGCGACCACTGCGGTGAAGGCGCAGCTGAAGACGTGGTTCGAGGTCTGGGCCCGCAGCCCCGACATCAGAGCGCAGGTCAAGCTTGCCTGGCCGAAGATCTACTTCCAGCTCCGCAAGATCAGGGCAGAGAAGAGGTGGCAGGCGCGCAAGGGGCCGCTGGCCAGCCTGATTCTCCTGCTGCGGGAGGTAGGCTGGGACTCCAGAGGACCAGACGTCTGGATCGACAGGCAAGGGGACTACTGGAGGTTCAACACCGACGAGCAGGGCGGCGACTACACAGAGATCGTGGACGCGCTCCTGCAGGATATCCAAGACCAGCTGTGGGAGACGGCATCACAGCACCACAACGGCGGAGGGCTTCAATTTGGTGCGGACGTGACAGACCTTAAGAAGCACCTCAACCAGCTCGCTAAGAAGGAGCACCACGGCACGTACGGCGCGCTCCTCACGGCAGCGTGTGCAGGCACCTGGACGAGGCGGCGCAAGCACGAGACCTTCGGCGGCGAGGAGGACATGTGCGAGTGCGGCAGACCAGAGGATGATGCACACAGGATCTGGGGCCACTGTGCGGCCCGAGCTGACTGCGAGGCCATCCGCAAGACAGAGGGCCTGGCACGCAGGGCCATCGAGGGAGCCAAGGAGAACCCCGCCTTCTGGCTCAGAGGCATCACGCCCAAGAAGTGGACCACGCCGCCCAAGTGCGACACCCAGCACGTCGAGCACACCGTGGGCGCCTGCATCACCAACATCAGGCTCTCCGCCAGCGACGGCGGCGAGATCGCGGGCTGCGGCGACGGCTCAGGAGGCGAGTACAGCGCAGACGAGAGATACTGCCGCTGCGGCTGGGGCTGGGTGCTGCTGAAGGAGGGCGACGACACCGACGAGATCGCGGGCGCCAGATTCGGCCCACTGCCAGGACCGAGGCAAACCAACAACAGGGCGGAGCTCTTCAGCCTGATCAGCTTCGTCAACGCCACGGAGGGCAAGGCCAGCTTCTGGACCGACAGCGAGGTCACCTGCCTGGGCTGGGCGGCGCGACGTGAGGAGACCACAGGGCTCGGCTGCACGAACGGGGACTTGTGGCACCAGCTGGGCGAGGCGATCCGTGCGCGAGGAGGCGACCGAAACGACATCAGCGCGCACCACCTCAACAGCCACATGACTGAGCAGGAGGCCATCGCGAAGGGCATCACGAGGCGCATCTGGGCAGGCAACCAGGCCGCCGACCAGTACGCAGACGCAGGCGCCAAGACCCACGCGATCAGCGACACCGAGATGAGCTGCTACGAGTGGGTGAGAGCGACGGCGCACCTGGTGAGGCTCAGGATCGCTGCAACCACCAAGGACGTCATCACCAGAAGGCCGCCAGACGAGAAGGAGATGAGAGAGGCCCGCCGCGCTCAGGCTAAGAAGCAACGGCAGGACACCGTGCGCAAGAAGGACCTGCTGGGGGACAACCACTCGCGGCGGCCACTCACACAACATGTACTGGCACGAGATCGTCGAGGCACAGGATGGACGTGCATAACCTGCTGGCAGTCAGTCTCCAGTACGACGACGGCGCAGAACATCCACAGCTGGCTGACGCAGGAGTGCAGTGGCCCACCGCCCGAGACGGCGATCACGGTCACCAAGTTCGGCATCGAGTCGCACCCCACACACAAGCTGAGGCGGCTGAGGAGGCACAACAGGTGGTTCTGCGAGAAGTGCGGAGGCGCCACCACCGAGCTGATCGCCAAGAAGCTGCAGGAGCCTTGCTGCGGTCACACGGCATGCGACAGCGGACACTACAGACTACAGGGGTGGCTGAGACAAGCGGCGCGAGAGCAGGGCACCTGCGACAGGCATCGCGCACTGAGCGACCCTGAGGACGAGGAGTTCGAGGAGCAGCTTACAGAGGCCAGCAGTAGCCAGAGCACGGAGGTCGACACGGCAGGGGGCACAAGTGGTGTTTCCTGGCGAAATAAACGGGAAGAGCCACCCTGCCGTTTGCGGGAGAAGTGCCGAGGCTACACTGCGGGCGCGCTGGAGGCGACCAGGAGAGCTACGACGCCTGCGGAGCCCAGCAGCCCGCCCGCCCCTCCAGCTGCAGGAGCAGACCGAGGGCCCGCGGCGCGGGACAGGGCTCGTCGGGCCGCGTCGGCCAGACCGAGAGCGCGCTGCGAGGCAGCAGGCGCGCGGCCCGACGGCGGAGACAGAGGAGAGCAGAGGACACGGAGATCAGAAAGCGAGAGGCGAAGAGCCGAGGAGCCGATTGTGAGACGCCTGCTGGACGCGACCGCCACGCCAGCACCGACGCCGCCACCGACGACAGCACCACCAGCAGCAGCAGACCAACGTGACGAAGCTGAGGCCGCACGCCGTGCCGCCTCGCGAGCGCTGCTGGAGGAGGAGAGGCGGCGCGCGGCGCGCCCGCCGCCAGAGGCGAGAGGGGCCCGCGCGGCGTGCGCCGCCCCGCCGCTGCCGCTGGGCGCGCTGCGCCGGCTGCTGGACGAGGGCGAGCGGCCCGCGGGGCGGGTGAGGACCACGCGAGGCGGAGCTGGTGGCAGAAGATGTGGTCTCCCCGCCCCGCGGCGAGAGGGCTGGGCTGCGGAGCCGCCCGCGGGCCCCTCGGCTGCTCGGCACGTCCCCTGATGCCGAGGACCGAGGCGGCCTGAGAGGCGCCGAGAGCGGCGCCCCCGCGCGCGCGCGCCGACAGCGCCGCGCGGGTTGCCACGACGTGGCGGCTCGAAAGAGCTCGGAAAGAGCTCCTCCTCCTCCTCCTCGTCCTCTCCTCGTCCTCCTCCTCCTCCTCCTCCTCCTCCTCCTCCTGCCTCCCCTTCCTCCCTCCTCCTCCTCCTCCTCCCTCCCCTCCTCTCCTCCTCCTCTCCTCTCTCCTCCTCATCCTCCTTTCCTCCTTCATCCTCCTCCTCATCCCCCCCTCCTCCTTTCTCCTCCTCCTCCTCCTCCTCCTCCTTCCCTCCTCTCGTCCTCCTCCTCCTCCTCCTCCTCCTCGTCCTCCTCCTCCTCCTCCTCCTCCTCGTCCTCCTTGTCGTCGTCCTCCTCCCTCGAGATCCAGAGCCCGCGGAGGGGAGCGGGGGCACCAAAAGTGGGGGAGGTCGGATGGGAAGAAGATGGAGAAGAGAATCACCAGCCTCGAACTTATCCCTCTCCCCAAGACTGACGCGCCAAAAGGCGATGACAATCTCAGGGATGCGCCCTGGAAAACTGAGGAAATCCCTAAGAAAGTGGGGGAAGGCGGAGTGACAAGAAGGTGGAGAAGAGAATCACCAGCTTCGGACGTATCCCTATCCCCAAGATTGGCACGCCACGCGGCCGAGCGGGAATTTACGCGAAGGGGAGCGGGGGCACAGAAGGTGGGGGAGGGCGGATCGGAAGAAGATGGAGAAGAGAATCACCAGCCTCGAACTTATCCCTATCCCCAAGATTGACGCGCCAAATGGCGATGACAACGTTAGGGATGCGCCCCGAAAAACCAAGGGAAACCCTATGATTGGCACTGTGATGAGGCGATGCCCTGCTTAGGGATAAGGATATGCTCCAGGCTGGTAAGAGAAGGGGACACCAAACATGGTAAAGAGAAGGGGGCACAGAAGAATGGAGAAGAGAAGGGGACCTGCGCATGGAGCGCCGTTCCCCTTGCGCACTTCACTCCGTATTCGTCCTCCTCCTCCTCCTCGATCTTCCTGCCCCCTCCTCCTGCCCTCTCCCCCTCCCGCCTCCTCCCCCTCCTGCCTCCTCCTCCTCCTCCTCCTCCTCCTCCTCCTCCTCCTCCTCCTCCTCCTCCTCCTCCTCCTCCTCCTCCTCCAACCTCGTCCTGCCTCCTCCTCCACTTGTTCTCCCCTGTCCGCCTCCTCCTACACTCATCCGTCATTTTCCTCCTCGTCTTGGGCTCCGCGCTTTGGGGTGTCTGGGCGCCCGCGCACCTGCCCGCCGAGCCCCGGGCGCGAGGTGAAGATCGGCACCGACGTGGCCGCTTCTGAGTTCTACGACGACAAGGCCGCCCGCGCGCGCGTCTCCGGCGTCGTCACGGGGGGAGGGAGCTGGAGGAGGAAGAGGAGCAGCAGTCAGCGACGGCGGCCTTCGCGTCCTCCCTTGTCTCGACGTCGCCTAGGGGCTCCTTGGTGACACTCATGGAGTGCTCTCTTGAAGTCCCACCAGCCCTCTGTGATGAGGAGGAGGAGGAGGAGGAGGAGGAGGAGGAGGAGGAGGAGGAGGACGAGGACGAGGACGAGGACGAGGACGAGGACGAGGACGAGGACGAGGACGAGGACGAGGAGGAGGAGGAGGAGGAGGAGGAGGAGGAGGAGGAGGAGGAGGAGGAGGAGGAGGAGGAGATGGAGGACGAGGAGGAGGAGGAGGATTTTTTTGTGTTTTGCCACCATTGGCCGAACCAGTTTTTGTTACGTCGGAGGCCCGACGGCGGCCCAGCGAGACGGCGACGAGGAGCCCGAGACCGCCCCGAAAGGCAAGCTGCCCAGGCAATGGCCCCCCCGAGGAAGGAGGCCATGACCAGGCAACCCGCCGCCCCACGGAGCCGACCCAGCAGCCGCCAGCGGCCGCCCCGAGGGAGCCCCGAACCAGGGACACAAAAGGCCCAAACCAGGCCCCAGCTAAAAGAGCCGCGCCCAGCGCCACGACGGCCGCGCGGAGCACGCGCGCTCCTAGGCGCAGCGTCCCTCAGCGTCGCTTCGTCCTCGGCGGTCTCGACGCCGACCCAGACGCGGAGCCACCGCCTGTCGCCGCCTTCTGCGCCAGATGGAACGCCCCCTGGCAGAAGTCGACGGCTTCGGCGGCCCTGCTCGACTCATCCTCGATCCTCCGCTCAGCATCAGCGAGCGCCTCGCGGAGGCGCATCTGCACCTGCTCAGCCTCCTCCTTCTTGGCCAGCAGCTCCACGACCTGCTCCGCCAGCTGCTGTCTGCCCGTGGTCGCCGAAGCCGTCGCTTCCCTTGCGGCCGCAAGTTCAGACTCAAGCCCCGCGACCATGTCCTTGTACTCGGAGGCCTTCGCCGCGTTGTTGTCCAGCTTCGTGTGCAGAGCCACGAGCTGCTGTTGCAACTTCTCCGCTTCTGATGCCGACGCAGTTCTGGCTGCCGTCTCTGCCGCCAGCTCCGCCTTCATCATCTGAAGCTCCACGATGGGGTTGACGATGCTCTCAAGCTCCTTATGTTTGCCCTGCACCGCCTTCTCAATCTTCTCGTCGTCGCCACTCGCGTTGACCGTCGAGGCCTTCGCGAACGGCTCTGCGTCCGCCTGCACGCCCATGAGATTCTGGTGCGCTAGCTTGTCCTCAATGTCGGTGACTTGACGTCTGGGTGCGCCTGAGCATTGCGCAGCGACGCCTTGCGCAGCCTTCCACCCAAGTGCTTCTCGCCCGCCTCCTTGAGAACATTCACCCCCGTCTTGACGTCGGTGACCCCCAGCGTGCCCAGGGCCTCCTGGACCTGCTCGATGGGGTCGACTGCTTTCCCCGCCGCCGTGGCTGCGCCTCGCACGACGGCCGCCATGGCCGCACGCAGAGCTTTGCCACTCATCCCAGCAGCGATCACGGCCGACGCGGCCCCGAAGGCTGCCGCCGCCACCGGTTGCGCCTCCATCGGAGGAGGCATCGCCAGAGCCCAGGCGCGCCCCGGGGGCCCGCGCGCGCTCCGGAAGCCGCCGCCCGCTCGCGCCCAATGGCTTGAGCCAAAATGGCTACGGACCGGAGGAGGGAGGAGGGAGGAGGAAGAGGAGGAGGAGGAGGAGGAGGAGGAGGAGGAAGAGGGAGGAGGGAGGAGGGAGGAGGGAGGAGGGGAGGGTCACGGAAGGAGGGAGCACGGAGAGGGAGCACGAGGAGGGAGCACGGAGGAGGGAGCAGGAGGAGGAGCACGGAGGAGGGCGCACACGGGAGCACGGGAGGAGGGAGGAGGGAGTAGAGGGGAGCAGGGAGCAGGGAGCAGGGAGCAAGGGAGCCCGGAGGGAGGAGGGAGGAGGGAGGAGGAGGAGGGAGGAGGGGAGGAGGAGGGGGAGTGGGAGTGGGCAAGCTAGGTTCGCTCGCGTCATATCTGACTTCCATCCTGCCCTCCCTCCCATCCCTTACCATGGCGCAGATCCCCTCTCTACTCGCACAGTCGGATGTCGAGCAGGGCAATGATCCCGAAAGGGTACGTGATGCATTGTAGAGCACGGCGTGGCATGGCGTAGAAGAGCACCGCAAAGCGTAGTATCAACCTAGCATTGCAATGCGTGCCGTGGCATGGCACGGGAAATGACGCCAGCGCTGCAGCGGGAGCACGAGCCGAAGCGAGCGGAAGCGCGAAAATGAGGCCAGCGCTGAAGCGGGAACACGATTCGGAACGAGCCGGAATCGGCCCAGGAGGCTTCCGGCGCCAGAAGCAGGAATTCACCATTTCCAATAGAAAAATGTGTCGAATGGCCTTTTTTCGGCGCCGCCTCGGAACTCGATTTTCCGGCGCCGGCCGGAACCGGCTCCGGACCCGGCCCGGGCGCTGGCACGGGCGCGGGCTCGGGCGTCCGGCCCAGGCGCCGGCTCGGGCGCGGGCCCGGGCGTCGGAATCGGCCCGGGAGGCCTCCTCCCGGGCGCCAGAAGCAGGAATTCAGCATTTTCAAAAGAAAAATGTGTATTGGAATGGCCTTTTTTCGACATCGCCGATCGGAACTCGATTTTCCGGCGCCGGCCGAAACCGGCTCCGGACCCGGCCCGGGCGCCGGCCCGGGCGCGCCAGCTCGGGCGTCCGCGCCGGCCCGGGCGTCGGAATTGGCCGGGGAGGCCAGCGCTGCAGCGGGAGCACGATTCGGAACGAGCGGGGCCCGAAAATGAGGCCAGCGCCTCAGCGAGAGCAGCATTTTGGAAAA